GCTCGTAAGTGGCCTCCAGTGCGCCATCATTTGAAACATTCGTATAAAGAGACGTTACATCAAATGATTCCACGGCACAACTCTGTGCGAGGTTTACACTGGACAACTTGTTCAAAAGCATACCCGTATTCGTTAGGTGGGCGGGGATGTGTTGAAGCAGTTGACGCAAGATTATGTTCAGGAACCACGACACTTTATCCGTGGGGCCCCCAACGTTACTGATTATAGGCCTAACCTTAAAAACGCCAGGATCCCCCGAACACAGTTCCGACTGGGTGAGCTTGTGTGTCTTCAGCAGTACGTATAAAACAGGACAACGAGGCAGGTCACATTTGATCCGATTGATTGTCGTGTTAGACAGTCCTGCACTTTTGCCACGCTACACCATACTCTGTTTAACTTTCGATACTGTTTGCAAAACTCTTTTTCGGTCGTTCTGCAATACAATGTATTGTCTTCGAGATGCGAAACTAGTAATCGCTCTGTCAAGTCTTTGTGGCAAAACGGTTAGAACTAAGTGGTATCGTAAGCCGAGTAACAAGAACATCCTCGTCCACTACGGCTCGGCACACCCGAAGACGACAAAGCGAGCTGTCCTGGCTAATATGTTCAGAACTGCGAACAAAGTCTCCTCTGATGTGGCGTTGAAAAAGGAATCGCTCAATATGGCCCGGAATATCGCGGTATCCAACGGATACCCGGGGTCAAGATCAGCTCGGAAAGGATATGACGAACATTGTAGAGTCATCAACGAGATATCCACCGACAAAGTGCCTTTCAATTTTCCGTTCATATCAGATGAAGTGAGCCAGGTAATCCGAGCAAGTTTGCATAAGTGCGGCTTGCAAGACGATGTTAGGTTGATAGAAATCCCCCCGAACAATCTAAAACGTATCCTCGTTCGAAATCGCCTGTACGATTATTCATGCGATACGCCAGAGTGCATGGTTTGCCCTTATGGTAGAGCAGGTGATTGCATGAAGTCGGGAGTGATCTATTCCATACGTTGCCTCGCATGCAGTAGTGAGTATATAGGAGAAACTGGACGGCCTCTGCGCGTACGGGTTAAAGAACACATGGATGGTCTTCGAAGATCGCAAATCCAAACTCCGCTGGGTGCCCATCGTGTTCATTCTCATGATGGTGTGGGATTCCAGGTGACTGTGTCCATCCTGGCGCAGGAGCCGGAGATCGCAGCGCGAAAAACATTGGAGGCATTGTGGATTTCGGCTAAAGACCCCAAAATGAATAGGAAAGAGGAGTGTGTGGTCATAACCCGTGAACTCGCGCCCTTCTCCGACCTTTGTGGGTTTTGATCTACATGAGGTCGAGGTTTGAGGTCGAGGGATAGAGGGGGATTCTCACTCATCGCATTACTGCAAGCCGGGTGGTCGATCTCGCGTCTCCGCGGCGGAGATCAAAGGTAAGCCGAGTCATCTTAACCGATCGATACCGTTAGGTTGTTTACCAGTTTCTCAAAAGGGTCTTCAGTTTTTGTTAAGGCGTTTGGGAGAGCAAATCACAACTGTTTCGGACTCTTTCAGGCTCTGACGAAGGCGAGGAAGCCGAAACGTTGGCCTAATAAACGTTAACAATCTTGGTCGGCTTAAATACAACAATAATTTGACGGAACAACTATGCCAAGATTAAGAGAGAGTCGGTCGTGGAGGATCCATGAACATTTTCCCAGAGAGATATTATCGATCAGATGAATGATTAGAGCCCCCATCACCCATGAAATCGACTCCGCAGGAGCTTCAGGGGTATCCACGGATATTCGACTTCAAATTGCTTAGAATGCATGAGACGGCTCACCCGTGTTGGTGGTCTTCTTTCCATTGACTCCTGATGGATTTGATGTGAAGGCTTTTACTCTGTCATTTTGTCATCCGGATGCTGGCCTTGGGTGCCGGAAGCTAGATTTTACGTGCTTCTGTGTTTCATAAGGGTCGCCTCCACTGATTTGAGAACAATTCTTTCACGCATACTCTATCTATATTCACAATGTTTCTGTACAGAAGTCACGGAAAATCAAGTAATGATTTGATAGGAAATTGTGATTTTTTTGCTCCTTCCAAGCTTTTTTCCACATCTTATATGCATAATATACCGGCTGAAACCAAATTCACGGTTTTCCAATGAAATTCCCGACTTTTCAAACCAAATCCAAGGCTTAGATACCAACGCCTCACTAGACGCTACTGCAAGTGCCGCCCCTACAGCTACGTCCACATGTCAACGTGGTCGTTATTCCGAATTTCGTTTTATAATGTCTGCTTTTGTGACTTTTTTGCTGTACATCGGCACATGGGCAACTCTGTCCACTCTAACGGATTTGTTGCAAACTTCGACTTGTCATAACTTTTTTCAACGTAGTTGTTTTCACTCCCACTTGTCACACAATAAAAGTACTCTCAAAATATTTATGCATTGGCACATTACGCTTTGCCTCCTAGCCACGCCCCTTTCGCGGATTTTTGCGAAGTTTTAGTACTTTTTTTTGCTGAGCTTGCATGCTAAGTTCTCTCGTCACTCTTAATGGAAAATCAGGCGATGATCCTTCAGGGTGACGGGCCCGACCCTAGCATGCAAGCATAGGCTCTATTCTGCCGATTTGCACCATTTTTGAAAAGTGGGCGAAGCTTCTTGTAGTGGATGGAGCTTCAGTAGCAGTCCAATAATGCAAAAATTCTGAAAAAAAATTTAAATTCCGCCAAAAGCAGCAAAAGCTTGTTTGGTTTAGGTGGCGACCGATCCACCTGCCGTGCAATCGCGGTATAGTCCACACTGCCGTCGTGCTGATTTCCGTCAAGGCTATCCATTGAACAGAAGCTGAAATATTTTAATCAAATTAATATCTGAGACACTTTTCAAATTATTTTGACTCACTACTTCGGCCTAAGGAATTGTTGTCATTTCACAGGGTATCACACAGCTCACACCGCCATCCATGAGTTCGCAAAAAAGGGTTCTGTGAGGAAACTAGCCCCCACATTTATCTGTCACTTGCATCTACTTTGAAGCATGGCTTTCTCGAAAGTTAGCTGTTTGACTACATCTTTTTAGTTTACCAGTTAATAAGCCGAAGACGATTCGAACAAATGATCGTGCTGGAGGGACAGAATATACTCATCACAATTTCTGGACGAAAGCGGAGAATCAAGGGTTTATTACTTGAGCTGGCTCAAGCAAAAAATTTTGAGGACAGAGGTTAGCGCTTGTGCTGTGATTGTTTGAGAATGTGATCCTTAGGTCTCCCTATCGAGTCCGCTCCTCACAGATTTAGTTAGGAAAAGATGGAGCAAGAGCAGAACTGTAACCTCTTGTCTCCACTATTCAAGGTTTCTGCTCGACCATTCGTAAGGAGATTTGAGTATTGCAATCGAAAACATCCATAGTGCGAAATCTATATATCAGATGGAAACATTCAGGGCTCCGCTTCTGGTGGTTCCGCAGAGAAACGAAACGGTTGGGTCAACGTCGGCGATCTCCAGGGAGCTGTTCATTTCAAAATTATTCGCTATGAGCGTATTAAGTTCCTCGTGGTAGGCCTGGAGAACAGCATTGAAATATACGCATGGGCTCCAAAACCCTACCATAAGTTTATGAGTTTTAAGGTCTGCGATCATCTTTACAATTACACTGTTACTTTTGATGAATCGGTCTATCCTTATTCTACCATTTCGTTAGGGTAATATTGTTTAGGCCTACGAGTTTTTCAAATACAGCAGTGGGAGAATGGTACTTCCACCTAGAGATCTTGCAAAATTCTACCTACAAAATGTCCCTTAGAAAAAAGTCCCTAACGAAAAGTTGTTAGATGGAAATGTCATTCTGAATGACTTCACTAACATTCAACATTGAGCGGAGCCATTTGAGCACCGCGGTTCACCTACGGTGAAAAGTGTGACGCTCGGCGCGAGTACGTGAAGGGGAACCGGGAGCGCTTGCCTTCACTCGCCAACGGTGTTGCCACGCGGGTGTTGTTGCTGCTATCCGCGACCTGCAGACCCTTACTGCCCCTGCGTGGTGCACACTACGGTCATGGACTCGATGTTAATCTGCTCAACTACGCTCATGCCACGCGCCCTACCCGAGAATGACCGCTCGCATGGCTGACTAAGCCTACTGCGTCATTAACACGTAACTCAAACTGACACTCAACATGTCAGATGATGAATGACTATTCAAGAATGCAATGGTAGTACCGAATAAGATGAAACAACGAATCACATAAAGCTTAAGTGATTTACCACTCTGAATAACAAATGAACCATGAAATTGAAACGAAAAAATAAGCACCACGTGAAAATAAGGTACGGCGCTACCTTCGAAGACGAGCCATGCCTACCTTCCTAAGGGCCACGAGGCTACCCAGCAGGCGCATTGGAAACATCTTCCCTATCTAGGAGGTTCGGATGCATCTCGGCGCCTACTGGTTACCTGGGACATCTGGCATATGGCTGCGTTTATTCGGATCCTTCGCACTATACGGCTCGTTGGTCTTGGACGGCAGCCCGCACTTAGATGACGGTGTTGACGGCTGGACGAAGAATGGGGCGAAGCGACCAGTCGGCATGACAGCACCACCAAAACTAACTGGCGGCTTGCGTCGATTGAGCGGAACCTGCGCCGAGGTGGGCGGGGCCAGACGTGAAGATCCGTAAAACGATCAAAGGGCACTCCAGACACCGGAGCAAAGAGGACTAAAGTCAGCGTGGGGTCGCTGGTTGAGAAATGTGGGCACACGTGTTGTGGGCGAGCATGCTGAGGTGGGCGGAGCCGAACCTAAAACTTCGTGGTTCCGTCCTATAATAACTTGGGGACCGGAAAAAATTGAGTGAAAGTGAGCAGCTGGTGGGGCAATGATGTGGGATAGGCACACGCGGAGTGGGCGGGGCGGGCGCAATGGGCGGAACTAAAGTTCGAAAATCGCAATTCTATCTCAGAGCACCCCAGAGAAAAAAAATGATAAAGGTGTGCATGTAATTGGCCATTGAAATCAGAGAGATACGTCCGTTGCGTGGAAGCATATGCCTAGATGGGGGGGGGGTGGTGGGGCAAAAGTTAAGAATTTAGGAATCGGTTGCAGAACAGCATAGGCACCCAGGTAGGTGAGGTCATCACGAGGTTGGTGGAGGAATTGTGGGAACATACGCGAAATCTGCGGTGCTGGCAACAAAATTTCATAACTTGGTGCGAAGAGAGTTTCAAGATTGGTGAACTTCATTGAAGAAGCAGTACATTTGGAAGTAGTTGAGCGTGTCTTTGGTGGTCCGGGACCCCTGTGGTACCTTTTCTTATTGAGTTTTAGTGCATATTCAGTCATACTCTTAGTTGCCGGTCATTATTTGGTACCAGTATGCTCGCTCGCTGACGTCGGTCGCCTCCTTCCTCCTCGGCTTCGCCGAGCGGGCGTGGTTTTGCCACGCGTGCCTTTTTGCCTGTCCAACTGATACCCGCCATTCTTTGAGATCTGCACAACAATACTTCTTACCACCATTCCATAGACGGTAAGTGTGCTGGAAGCAGCAAGTGTAATGCTATTTTGAGGAGCGTTGACCATGTGTTCAGATAAGCGAAGAGCAAGGTATCCGTTGAGAATCGATCCTCAAGCAAGGGTACGCGCGGCGAAGCCATGCCATATCGCAGCAGGAGACCCGCCGGCGTTGGGCGGCGAGCGTACTGGAATCTTAGTATGGACGAAGAGCAAATAAGGACGCTGGAGGTCTTCTAAAGTCCTGTATTGCGAGACCCTGGGAAAAATTCTGGGCTGCTAGGTCATTTCGGCTTAAGTGACCTGGCGGGAATGGCTAAATGAGAATGACAGAAATGTTAACAATGGCTAATGAGGGGTGCAATCGTCATCTCGCACTTCCACGTCAGAGACATTATCGGGAACATCTTGTGAGTCAAACTTTTGTAAGATACCCAGGTGGAATTACCGTTATACCACGTATATGCAGTGTATAACACAAAAGACAGTACTTATGTCGAGTAAAGCCCATAAAGTTTGCATCATAAAGAACGATTGTTTGGCGCTCAGCTCGGTGGGTCTCACAAGCAACCACTGCTATGTGTATGCTTGGCGGTCGGGACAACATGGACGTATCTCCTAGCTTGAGCTTGAATTCACCATAATCTTCTTGCTCACTGCATTCATGTTCCTGCTCGATGTTCGATTTTATTGGAACATGTAGTCACCAAAACGGAGCTGGTTTATTTGCCGGGCATGCACCTTATTTGTGTGACTTCTGATTGTAGCCGATAAAATGTGGCCTCCAGACCTCAAAACATTGAATGAGTGCGGTTAAGGAAGTTTTGTTCATTGTTCAAAAACTTGACCAAGCAGCGGGCAAATTGGGTGATACTTGCCACTGAATGCAAGTAATCTTTGCTATGAGACAACAAACCCTTGCTACTTTTCAAAGGGTCTCGGAGAAAACGAATCAAGGCATGCCATACTTATTCATATGACGTGAGGTCGTAGATATGGTTGCTCAGATTAGGCGTTATGCTTGGCCTCCTTTGCTTCCATGATGTACTGATTGTTTCTGCCAAACGCTGAGGAGTCTCCGCTCACAGTTGGGCTTGGCGTGTCAGCAACGCACGGCAGTTTGTCATTCTGTTCAGGTAGCAAATTACCCTGTGCGTAGATCTCAGGAGCTATCTTCAATTTGAATTGTTTTGAATAAGTAGGGCATTCACAGATACCGTAGGCAGCGTTCATAGTTCGCGACAGCAGCGGCCATCGCCGCTTTTTATCTTTCTTTCACATAATCCTCTTCGACGTACCTCACCTCTCATTCCCCCTACCCTCCCCCCGACCTCGCCCCCGACTCCGCCCCTCACTCCGCTCCCTGAATCCGCCCCATTACTTCATCACTCCTTCATAACGCCTTTCACCTCCCCGATTTCAGGGAATTCCCCGCCGACTCAGTGGAGTGTGTCATTAGGTCCGCCTGGGGCACCACGTACTCAGTGTGTCATTAGCCTCCGCCGCCATGCCCTCTTCCCCTGCTACCAAGCCCCGCCTCCGACTCCGCCCACTTCTCCCAAAATTTTCACTTTTTCTCAAGGCTTCCCACGGGCTCCCACGTCGCTCCCCCTAGTACCCAGGCAAAGTGTGTCATTAGGTCCGCTTGGAGCACTACGTCTCACTGTGTGCGCCGCTCGAACTACTTCCACTATTTCGGCAATTCCCCCGTCCAATCAGTGGAGTGTGTCATTAGGTCCGCTTGGAGCACTACGTCTCACTGTGTGCGCCGCTCGAACTACTTCCACTATTTCGGCAATTCCCCCGTCCAATCAGTGGAGTGTGTCATTAGGTCCGCTTGGAGCACTACGTCTCACTGTGTGCGCCGCTCGAACTACTTCCACTATTTCGGCAATTCCCCCGTCCAATCAGTGGGTGTGTCATTAGGTCCGCTCTGGGGCACTACGTCCTCAGTGTGTCATTAGGTCCCCAGCCACGCCCATATCCATATCCCACCAAGCCCCGCCCCGACTCCGCCCACTTCTCTCAGAATTTTCGTTTTTTTTTCTAGACTTTCCCACAACCTTCCCCGTCCCACCCTAAGTACTGAGGCAAGGTGTGTCATTAGGTCCGCCTGGGGCACTACGTCCCACTGTGTGCGCCGCCACGCCCCCTTCCGTATGCCACCAAGCCTCGCCCCCTGACTCCGCCCACTTCATAAAAATTCACCATTTCTTCATGAGACTTGGTATTTTCACCTCCCACACTCCCAAACATCACTGCCCACGGAAGTAGAAAATATGAAACTATGTGAGCCCATTATTTAACTGCACCCCACTTATTAATCAAATAACCCCCTCACTGAGAGTACTAGTGGGCGGGAGAAAGAAAAAACCACATGAAAATACCTTTCCAACAAGTTTTTCAATCCGTCCATCTTGGGGCGAGCTGGTCCTCCTACTGGCGACGTTCATAGCTCGCGACAGCCGAACTATGAACGCTGCCGTAGAATCAGTTCTTTGACGATGTTTTTCATGAAAAGTCATGTGAGCACCTATCTGAATCAACGTGTTCACATCATTCCTGGAATTGACTTATTCTGAAGAATACTCTAGCAAATCAACTTCGCGTTTATACCTTTTTACCCGCAGTTACATTCTCATCCTCGGAACCCCACCTTACCGTGTCCGGCCGTCTCAATTTCGTTCTCTTACTGCTTCAATATCTTCAATGAGCAATCCCAAGCAAATTCCATCTGAGACCAGCTTTTGATAACAACAGGGCCGGCCCCCATATTACTGGCGGGCGCTATTCATTTAACATTGCTCCAGCTCGACAAACCTACGTCCGGATCTCACAATCAAATTTCCCTCGGAGTTCGCGTCAAGAGATTACATGATCTTCTTAGCAAGAATATCGCACTCTTTCTACGCGGCAACGCTTGTGGTATTCATCCTCGACAACTCTTGTGACATTTACTGCAGAGCCTTATTTGGGCCACAACCTCTGTCACTTCTGGGAGATCTTAGAATGCGTACGTGGTATTTTCGAGCAAAATGTTGATGGCATTCATTTTCAACTTCTCAGGGTATCGGCAGTTGCAGGCCTTTTCGGACTTATCGGCGCAATCACTTTAACGTGAGAGTGTGCGGATGGTGGTGTAGGTGCAGTCAGTCACTGCCTTTTTTACCGAGAGACCTTCCCTAGCACGGCAGAGATGGGGAATCGTTTTCTCGAACTCACTAGTCTCACAAAGGAGGACTTTAGTCCGTAGAATCCCATTTTCAAAACAGTTCGTTGCATGTTGTAGAGGTTCGTGCACGGACCACGGTAAAAAAGTTCATTTTCGCCCACAGATGACTCGAATGTTTTTACACGCGTTTTTGTTCAGACAGAAGGTCGTCACTCCCATTGCCATAAGAAAATGAGAACTGCAGTGTAAAATTTCGCCACCTAATTTTTTCGCACTACTGTACCCTTCCTTTGGAATACCTACAAGCAAGCAGAACTACATTTTCCTGGTCACCGTTACGAAAGTCTACGCTACGGCCTCAAGGACACTATTGTCAGAGCAAGCACACGATGGCTTTCAATCCACTATTGGCCTCTTGTCTGCCACAAAAACACTTGGAGCTGCGTCACTTAGCCTCGTCGTTTCAGCTGAGGTTCACCGATGAGAAAGTGTCCTCATTGAAGTAGGACAAAACTGTGGCAGTGACCGCAACCATAAAAAAAATAGAGAGTATGGTTCTGTTTTATGTTGAAGATAAGGAGGGTGTTCAAAGGTACAGTGCCCGATCTTTCCTATGTGTAGGTTCTTTTCCTTGCCCGAGATAGCCCGCTCGGCATTGGTGGAGGATGTACCTTTTTCCGGCTTGAGGATACCATCGAAGCTTTGCCACAAAACAAGCTCGCTGAGGTCAGCTTCTTCCCTTTTCATTCTATTTCTCCACCGCTGTGTCGGTGCGGCTCCGTCTCTGTGCTATATCACCAATTCACCGCCTTTTTCTCTTTTGCTTTTGCTCACTTTCTAGGAACGATTTCCATTTGCAATCAGATAAAGATCACCGAACATGTTTTTGGACGTTGATCTCGAATCAGGCTTCGAAATATGCAGAACGATTCTGTCGACGGAGTTATTAGGCACATTCCGCGATAAAATAAGGCTATGACCTCTCAAATGTGTCGGACGATCCGGAAGGCGATTTTTGAGGCTGCGCTACTTTCAAAATGTGAAAAACGGCAAGAACTCCGCTAGAAGCTGACTAATTAGGCCCATGGACACCCCTTAGGCCCATGCCGACCCTCACCGGCTGCTAGCTACTAGCTAGTAGCCACTATGTTATCTTTCTCTATAACATTTCGGACTGCTTTTTCTGCTGCTTTTCTCCGCTAATCAGATACTTAGCACTTTTTTGTGCCTATTTGAGTTCCGTTTCCCGCAATTTGCGGTCGCGAACTGTGCCTTTAAGCTGTTTGATGAAGGGACTTACAATCAGGCGCGATCGCCGTGTTGCCGCGTATGAATACCACAGCCATGGAATGAAAGTTCGTGTATTACGCGACAGGGTTTTGTATTTTGTATACAATTTCTTTTTTTGAGTCTAGAAAACACTATCAGGGAAGATTGTCGAGCTGGAATGGACATTCGTGGCGGGATCTATACCATCACGATCTATGCCGCGTTTTCTGATGCGGATCTCAAATCGGGTTTGTGCGCCTGCGCCCTGAAAAAAAAGCGTACAGGTGCCCGCAGCGCCCGCTCTACAGACGTTTTCGCGCTGAACCGTTGTCGTATCTGTGTTCAGGGAGCAATACTACTTCTGGGAACAGTTGTCTAACCCAGTTGAAAACAGCCCCCGCGCTCAAGCAATTTGTGGTCGTCCTTCCTTAACGACAGCTCCGCGATAAAAGTGTCAAGGTTGCTGTTCAATTATGAAACAGTAGCTAATAAGTAATTCCTCAACGAAGGAAAAAAAACGAAGAACAGCCTCAAGAACAACAAACAAAATCTCTCCCTGACAGTCACACCACCCTGCGTCCCTGTGCAACCCCTGGCTCACAAATCTTTATCACATATCCCAGTAGTGGATATCATCCAATGTAAAGAAAAGAATACGAAAAACAACAAAACACGAACGAAAAACACATAAAAAAATTCAAAAACTTGGCGTCCGAATTTGGGGTTACGTGCAGTGTGCAGCTTTTAGTGCATGTCGAGCTTTTGCACCACAGAAATTGCATCACTCGTGATTTTTACGCGTTTTACCTTGCGAGATGGGTTGCAGTTGACTGTATGTGCTCCCAATGAATAAAATGTAATAAAGGAGAGCAGAATTATTTATGGGCAGGAGCGCGGTCAGCAAAAAGTACATGCAATTCCGATTAATGCCCGCCGTCCCAACAAAGAACAACTGAGCGGCTTCCGTCGGAGGGCATCTAGCAAGTGAGGCGGTCCAACTGAGCGGGCGTTAGAACTAGAACTTTCAGCGGCTGTAGCTCGCTAATCGCTCGCTGTGGAGTTGCGAGAGTGGGATAGTCTCTAGCTTGGGGGCTGTACTACTTGCACAAGGAAGGACGACCATGTACTACTCAAACGCGGGGACTGTCTTTAGAAGTTTCTTCCTCTTACGAGTTTTCCGTCGGTGTTTTTGTTGTTTTTCGTATTCTTTTCTTTGCATTGGATGATATTTACTACTGGGAGCTGCGAAAAAGCGATTTGTGAGTCAGTGGTTGCACAGGACCGCAGGGCGGTGTGACTGCCAGGGAGCGATTTTGTTTATGGTGTTCTTGAGGACTCTTCTTGCTTTTTCTTTTCTTGGGGAATTACTTATCAGCTACTGTTTCATAATTGAACAGCAACTATCCATGACACTTTATCGCGGGAACTGTCTTTGAGGTTTTGACCTAACTTTGGTAAAGTGATTTAGCACTCGTTGGAATGATGGTCACGGTCATCGGATTAGATTTGAAGAAGACTGGAGCATAACAGGATAAAGGAGTCAGAAGTAGCAATATGAGGCTTTGTACAGGCAGCGTACCTGCAGCTGTACATGTTTGAACTTGAAATGAAGTGCCCGTAATCGGTGTTCTACTAGTCAAGTCAGAATGTCAGATTTTGCTACAAACTTGTAGCCAAGAGTAGTTTGACGTCTTTAACATTAATATGACGCTCGTCTAGCGCGAAACTGCTTGTGGCATGCGCAACGAACAGCTGTGCAGTCTAGCCTTCGTTTTGATCGCAAAACGTCCAAGCAATATAGTAATGCACGCAGACTCTTTTTCAAGCGAAGGTAGGCAAGCACTGGTGTATTGGTGACCTTACAAATACTTTTTCCCCATGTTCCCCGAGAAGCAAAAAATTGCCGAGGTGGGACCCGATCCTATGATGTGTTGCTTGTTTGATTCGGAGGAAAATGCTTCATAAGTGCGTTCACAGTATCGTTCTGTAAATTTCAAAGGCAGATTTGAGATCAGCGTCTGGAAGCACGTCGCGTGATCGATATGTCATTACAAGAGGCTACTTCTACCTGGGCACCATCTCCAGTTAGGGTCGGATCGATTTACCCAGTGGTTGTACAGTGATCATACAAAAGATTGTTCTTATTTACGGCATTTCTGTTTTTTTTCGCTTCTTCTTTCCTTGTTTCTTAGTAACTACATATTGTTTTGTTTCTGAACCCAAATACCCACAATGTGCAATCGCGGACTGTGATTTTGATCAAATGTCGGTTTTGTACAACCAGTTTTTCTAGATTAGCGAGCGAATCGATGAGTTGAAAAATGCCTGAAGCAGTGCCGAATAGTCCTGTACTTATCCGTTTTTACAGTCCTTTGGAGCTTTATCTCATTTACCACTGATCGTTGATTTGACTGTGGAGGAAAACGCACGCCTGAAAGTTCTTTATGGATCACATGAAGGTTTTCATGCTATCGACCTCGACTCTGCTGCCATATACGACATCTACACTCCGTCAAATGTACGTTTACTTCTCAACCTTTTATTGTGTGAGAATACTCCAATGGCTGCTTAACAAAGGCATGTGCACTTAACTCTTCTGAGGACCTCTGTATTTTGGCCGCTTGGTTTGTGGGCATGTCGGGACATTGTTTAGTTCCACACTGAATTTTTGTACGGCTTTGTAAATTCAGACTTCAAGTCCGCAGAGCTCGCTCTGAGACCCTCCCGGGATGTACAGTGGAAACGTAATGGAAAATGGAACAGAGTGGAAATTAGAGCGCCGCAGGTACTGACCATCCCCCAAACATCATCCGGTTATTGCCATGTCCAATCTCCTCGCTATGTAGCCTATCAAAATGAGTTTGGTACCCCCTCGCGGCGTATCATATCGTTAGCATCATTTTTCACTATAATGGAGCAAAAATTCCTCCCACCCTCCCCTTAACAACGGAATTCATTCACGTTGTGGCGCGCTTTTTAGGAACCAGTCGGCTCGCCGGCTGACGCCTACGCCTCCTTGTGATACGGCCCGGCTGGGCCGCGCGGGCGCAACTCCGCTTTGTTTCATCTGTACGCATGGTTGAAGCTTCTTGACCAAGAACATCACACCTATTTTGAACACTACTACTGAGTATGGAACTGAGTAGATTAAAGACACATGGTACGCTCAAACACATTGAGGGTGTATGAGACTATCAGCCCCCAGCTGTCGATGTGTCGTGGTTTCCCCGCCTGAAACTGCACGGGGGTCCGAGTACGGGACCGTGGGAAAGGCTTATTCCTTGCTACACCGCCCAAAATGCAACTTGCGCGCGGCGAAATGCAACTTGCGCGCGGTGCATTTTGGGCGGTGTAGCAAGGAATAAGCCTTTCCCACGGTCCCGTACTCGGACCCCCGTGCAGTTTCGGGCGGGGAAACCACGACACATCGACAGCTGGGGGGCTGATAGTCTCATACACCCTCAATGTGTTTGAGCGTACCATGTGTCTTTAAAGTGCACAGATGAGGGAATAGCCGGGGGAAGGAGTGAATGGCGAAGCCGTGCCCGGCCGGCCAAATGGGCCGTATCACAGGAGCAGCGCTGGTATTGGCCGGCGAAACGTCTGGTGTCTAATACCTACGACGACCGGTGCTTAAGAGTATGGCTGCCGACAAGGTAAAACTCAGTAAGATTAGGTAAGTCGTGCGCTCTGCCCACTGGGAGCAGGTTTCAGCGCACTACAGACACACTCAATACAGACACACTCACATGTGTTTTTCCCCAAACAGCTTTTTGACTACTTCACGCACATCCGAATTGTTAAATTTTGTAGCAAGCACCAAGCATCTCCTCAGCAAGGACCGTCCATTTTGTGGATGTCTCCCCATTTCGTCCGCTGACCCCGTGTGGACCTCAATCCTCTTGTCCCCGGCGCCCGTGCTGCTCCGCAACCGAATCGTGAATCTTGACCCTCTCCGTTCACTTCGATGCGTGCTCCGCCCACAACGGGCGTGTCTATCTCACTTCAATAGTTGAGCTCCTGCACATCTCTGCTCACATGTTGACGGTGTCTGGAGTGCTCTGGAACCGTTTTACAGACTTATTCTGGTTCCGCCCACAGAGCAGGCTCCACCTAGGGCATGTTTGCCCTTATTTGGCGGGCGACCCTTCGATGACCTTATTCCACTTTTCTTCCGTCGTCTGCAGTGCTCTGAAACCAATTTATGCACTTTTTTTCTGGCTCTGCCCACGTCGGCGCAGCCCCGCCCACAACATGTGTGCCCACACTGTACTATCGGCCAGCCCTCGCTGACGTCAATCCTCGTTTTTCCATTCTCTGGAATGTTCCGGATCCAAGCTACAAATTTTCGAAATGAGCTTCCTATGATTGAGGACAAGCTTCGCTCACTGTGGAAGGGTCTCAGGAGGGTCTCAACATACCTCAGGCATGCCGAAGTCTCGCCAAATATTACCCTTCTGCATCGAGTTTTTTTGCGATCTCTAAACACTCTCGCGAACCGAGTTACTGAATTTTGTGAGAAGCACCGCCCACCTTGAGTACGCCCCGCCCATTTTGGATGTGTCTCCCACAGTTAGTCTGGCAACTCCTTGCTAACCTTATTCCACTTTTTCCCCATCTCTGGGCTGCTCCGGAAGCGAATTATGAATTTTTGTCTGCGGTACCGCCAACTTTCGGCGCATGCCCCGCCCACTGTGGGCGGGGCTTCGCATAGGTCATGTGTGCTCCTTACTTCTTGTCCCATGCCCTACCCATCCCCACCTTGACTGGACCTGTCCAATTTGTTCTTCAGGAATTTGCGGACAAACAAACAAACAAACGAAACACATCGGAGAGGTCGGGATCGGGAAAGTGGGGACCTTGACCCGACCTCTCCAATTCGTCCTTCAGGTGAAACCAAACCGGACAAACAAACAAACAAACAAACAAACAAGTCGGAGCAGCCCAGAGATGAGGAAAAAGTGGAATATTGTTAGCAAGGGGTTGCCAGACTGAACAAGTGCGCCTCTCCTATTTTGGTGTGACGACAGACACACCAAAATAGGAGAGGCGCACTTGCGGAGGGCGGTGCTTCCCACGAATTACATCAAATCGGTTCGCGAGAGTGTTCAGAAATCGCAAAGAACCAGATGCAGAAGGGCAACATCTGGCGAGGGCTACACCAAAAGTGTGTTGGGACCGCCCACAGGGGGCAGAGCTAGCCTTCAACCGCAGGATACTCATTTCAAAAGTTCACAGCTCGGTTCCAGAATACCAGAGACGGGAAAAACCAAGGATTAAGGCCATCCAAGGGTCGCGGGTCAAGAAATGTGGCGCACACAGAAATGTGAGCGGGGCCTACCCCTTGGGCGGAGCCAGACAAAAGTCGGTAAAATGGTTCCAGAGCACTCCAGACACCAGAAAAAAAGGGTGGACCAAAGTCAGCGAGGGCTGGCCGATTGAGAATGTGGGGCACACATGTTGTGGGCGGAGCCTGCAGCATGATACCAGAGCACTCCAGACACCGTCAACATATGAGCAGAGATGTGCAGGAGCGCAACTGTGGAGGTGAGATAGACACGCCAAGCGTAGAGAGACTCATGAACTCACGACTGGGTTGCGGAGCAGCATTAGCACCAGGGACAAGGACTGAGTCTAGAAATGTGTAAAAGGAGGTACGTAAGGCAAAGCCGCGCTCGCCCTTCGCAGCCGGGCCGTGTCACAGAGGGAGGCGCCGGCGTCAGCCGGCGAGCCGACTGGTTATATTAGGTTGTTCGAAAAGTCCTGCGACACTTTGACCAATTTTTCGGACTAAATTTTCAGTCACTAAAAGACATCTCCAATCTACAAGGTAATCACCACTAAGGACTAGGACTAGTGCCCTTCTTTTGCACAGCTTCTCATTTCCATTCTTATAGAACTACGGCAACTATGATAAGAAGAAGAGGTGGACCTCATTTTTGAGTAG